TGCATGTCTAAGATATTTCACTACTTTAGAAGAGGAAATACTCACAGGTATTAATGCTTATATAAGATCCAAAGTCAACCAAAAGGTGTCTGTAGAAAAGTATTAAGATTCCTAATAGTAAAAATATCTGCAAATTTAATTACAAATACATTTCCAAAGCAAAATCCTTAATTAAGTACATCAGGGTGGGTCAGTATTGACAGTGTTCCTTGAGGAGGAAGTGAACAGCTAAATGTTGAATATTTACACTGAGAGATCCACCTATGTCAAATATATAAATTGAAGCAGCCCTATTTACAGTCTGGAACCTACAGGTTATCATGGAAGAGCAATAAAACTCTGCTAAAACATTGAGATTTTTATTTTTTTTTTTTAAGTACTGCTGATTTCATGCATTTGTTCTACCACTTGCCCTAAGATTTCATCCACCACATCAATGTCATAATTCACTTGTTGCAGGTCCAGGTCGGGCATGATGGTGGCCAGGAGCTGTCCCACATTCACACGGAGAGAGCGAAGCTTCAGGCTGGGGAGAGAAAAGCACGGGTTTAAATGGAGATGGAATTATCTGATCACAGCTCACCTAACAAAGCTGCACTGATAATCCACACTGGAGATGCTCCATCACTCCCATAAACCAACAAAAACAACAAAAAAAAATGGATGCAGGTAAAGCTGCATCAAGATTATTTCTAAATCTACCAGTTTTTCTAAGCTTCTCTTCAGTTTTCAGTTTGAAGGGGAATATTCCCTCAGTTTTAAACCAGTATTAAACTGAATTCCTGTAAGAAATATTTCAGAATAAGCATTGGTATAATCCTTTACCCCACACCACCTGTATTTCTCAAAGCCCTGGTATTTTTATCTATTGAGAAACCCAAATTACCACAACCCATGGGAACAAAAGAAGAGAAAAAGAGGAGAAGGCAAGAAAGAGGAGTTTGTCCAAAGGCTTAAAAAAAAATAGGAAATAAGAGTTGTAGCCCAGGGAAAAGGCTGTGCCTCCCTTTTTTTGGTTTCTTTCCTGGATGTCCTTGCTGTGTCCTCTTCCTGATCAAATTCTTTTGCCATGAGCCATCCCTTCTGTGGCCCATTTCCTTCTACTCTCAGATCCTTTATCATCTCCATGACCAGTTCTCCATCAACTTGTGGGGGGAAGTTACTTCCAAGTCCTGCATTTATTTGCTAATTCTTTTAGTAAACACAAACCAGAGCTATAAGGAAAAATAAAATTAAAATGCTGACAGATAATTTTTTCATGTGTCTAAATTTTTTTTTTTTTTTTAAAGACTGAAAGGAGTCTCTGGAAATTATCCAGCTCATTCTCCACTCCCCTGCCACCCTCTGCCAGGGTGTCCAGAGGCAGATCCAGCACTCCCTGGCTGGGCTGTGGCACCAGGGAGGAGTCACTTGCCCAGGGCAGCCCAGCCAGGAGCTGGTTTGTGTCACCAGCAGAGCGCAGTGCTGGCTCACACTGCACTGCCACTCCCCCAGCGCCACGGGCACTTCCTCCAGCTGCTCTCCCACAGCTGGCTCCAGCTCGTGCTCCTGCATGGAATGCACAGGTGCCCTTGTGGAATTTTCTGGGGCTTTTTTCCAACCCGTTTTTGTCCCAGTTTGTCCAAGTCCCTCAGCAGCAGCTCTGCCCTCCTGAGTTCCCTCCAATTTGATGGCACCAGGAATTTACTGAGTTCATTTGGCTCTGTCACCCAGGCCATGAATCCCAGAAGCCCCAGGGTTGGAAGAGAACTTTGGGATGATGCAATCCAACAATGACCCCAAAATGACATCCCCAAGGGCCACATCCAGCCTGCTCCTGAACACTCCCACAGACAGTGACTGCAGCTCATCCCTGGGCAGCTCATCCCAAGGCCTGACCACTCTGCCAGGGAAATTTTCTTTGCCAATCTCCACCCTGAGCCTGCCCTGCTGCAATTTGAGGCCATTTCCTCTCCTCCTTTGCCTGCCCCTCCTGGCAGGGACTTGTGCAGAGCCACAAGGTCCCCCCTGAGCCTCCTTTTCCCCAGCCTCAGCCCCTTTCCCAGCTCCCTCAGCTGCTTCTCCCAGGATTTGTTTTCCAGCCTCTTCCCTGGCCACACTCCAGCCCCTCACTGTCCTTTTAAAGTGCCACAGAACTGGACACAGGACTTGAGGTGCAAATGCCTTTTCCATTCTTGGCCTTGCTGCTGATGCCCAATTCGCCCTCACACACCCCATGCTGGTTGTCCTTACTCCCTTTTGGCTCTCATGGGGCTGCAGGTGACTTCCAGGTAGATTTATTCCATGTTTTCTCTGGGATTGAGGCTGCAGTGCCATGATGTCCTAAATACGGGCACAATAACTGCCTGTTTTCCAGGAATGGTAACTTTTGGTGATACTTTTAGCCCTCAGCTCCCTCTGCAATGCCTCTCATCTGGTGCCAGGGATCAATTTGCTGAATTGTTCCCTTAACTGAGTCCCCTTTTATCACAGGTGATGCTTCCCCCCTTGGATTCTCCCCTGACAGGGACCTCAGCTCACTCTGCTTCCACCTGCTCTGGGTTTTTTTGTGTGTGTGCTATTCCCACTTCCCAGGAGCTCCAAGCTCTCCAGCTGGAAGTTTCAACCCTTCTTTAATTCCAAGACACACCTTGGACCCTGCTTCCACAGGATTTGCCTGCAGCAAGGAGTTCTTAAAAAGGAAAGTTTCAAATCCAGACTGTTCAGTTGATTCAAGAAAGAAAAACATACTCTCAAAGTGAGGTTCATTACACAGCAGAAAATAATGATCACCCTCTTTCCTGCCTCCCTTTTCTCTCCTTGGTTTGCAAGTTGTGTTTAGAAATTATACAACATTTTGGGTATTTTAAGAAGTATCAGTTTGCCATTCTGCTGATTTGGAGTGGCCAATCCTGCTCACACAAATAAATCATAAATCACAAACATCACTCGATTTAAAAAAAACAACAACGTTAGTTAGGAGTCACAAAAGGCAGTAGAAAAGAATTCTGAGCATCACATTTTATTATACAATTATCAGACAAAACCTTCATCAAAACATTTAAAATACAACCAACAAGCAAAAACCTTGCAATAACATCTAGAAAGAACAAAACTGATACCTTTCTCCATCAGAAAAATTTACAGAGTCTTCTACATTACTGGTGGTAGAATCATTTGCATGTGCTACAGCCTGTGGGATTGAAGCTTTTAACTGAGCCAGCTCTGCCTTGAGCTCCTCACACTGACAGGCCATTTGATTCTTCTCCATTTCTAGGACTTCAATCTGCCAATCAAAAGAAAAATAAAGCTTTAAAAACGATTCAAAACATTGTGTAGTAGAAGTGCTGTGAAACAGGGAATAAAAACCAGAGATAGTTTCAGTGACAGGAGTGTTTTACCTCGCTTTTGTATCTGTCTCTCTCAATGGTGCACTTGTCCAGCTGCCTGAAAACATCATCCAGCTGCACTGCAATCTCATCCACCTCACTCCTGCTCTCCCCATCAGCACATTTGCTGCACTCAGTCTTTAGGTTCTGCAGGGTGCTGCACTGCTCCTTGAGCGTTGCTATTTCCCCCAGGGCCTGCTCATAGAGAGCTGTCACCTCTGCCAAGCTCCTCCCCTCAGTGTTTCCTTCTCCAAAGGAGGGATCCGTCTCCGTTGCCTGGTGGCACATTTCCTTTTTTACATATTTATTATTCAACTCCAAAAGCTGCTGTTCCAGTGTTTCCACTTGTTTGGTTAACGCTTCACATTTGCTTTGGTACATTTCTTTTTCTGCATTCAATGATTGCAACTGATTTTTCAGTTCATTTTCCACCTCTGCAGATGTCTCAGGAACACCATTGACGTTGTGCTGTTCCTTTTCCATCTCTTCCCCAGGAATCTGTACTGGCACGTCTTCCACCTCTTCTTTTTTCACCACCAGGTTGGGGAGCTCTGTCTGTGTTGCTGAGCTCAGCTGTTCACCTTTAGGCTCTGAAGTGCTTGCACTGCAAGGTTCCCCCACGGGACTGTTTTCCTTCTGCTTTTCCTCCTGCTTCTCCTCCTGATCCAAATTGATACATTCCATTTTTACCACAGGAACATCAGGATCTGCTGAAGGTTTTGGAGTACTGCTCTCCTCTAAAATGATGACATCTTCATCATCATCATCCTCCTCGTGGTTGTTGAATGTTTTGTCACCGAGCCGAGGTGTCTTTAGGGCCACAGGTGTCACACAGCTCTGTGTCCTCCTTTTGAGACTAAGGAGGAAAATTTTAAAATAATCAATTTATTGCAAAAATGCTGCCAAATCATTTGTTTTCAACCATGTGCAGTGTCCCTCTGAACACTATTCAAAATTTACCACTCTAGAAAATCTCCTGCATGGGATTTTAATTTGTGTAGTCAGAGTAAATTCCTGTAAAAAATAAGTGCCTGCCATCCACACACTCCCACATTATTCTGAAAGAAGACTCAGTATTCCCAGGAGCATTCTCCACATCAGGGAAACAGCCTGTGCAGTGTGGAGAACACCAACTCTGCTCCTGAGCACACAAATCACTAAAAATGCTCCTTTGTCATTTTCTTGAATTTACTTTTGTATTTTAACCTGGAGCTTCCCATGCTCCCAGAATTCCCACAGGAATTTTAGCAGCTGAAGCTGCTCCCAACACCATCATTTTCATTAAGTTATTAATTTTAGAAATAAACAGCAATCTCTTTGGACAGGTCCACTCACCTGCTATCAGCATCCACATGAGGGGAAGATACTTTAATTAAAATAGGCAGAGATCTTCTACCAGAAGCATCTGATGATTTTGGCAGAAGTAACCTTGGAAGAGCTTCCTTTGCATTTGGAGGTGAGAATGTTTTGAAGTCTTTACTTGAAGAAACAGATGTTTTTAAAAATATTTCATTATTCATCTATAAGACAATGCAAGTTAAAAATGGAAATAAACAGATATTAGTAGATTCTTCAGGAGAGATTGAAGCAGTTCTTTATATACCAACACCTAAAATTCTGACATTTCCATATCCAAGTAGCTCCTTGAACCCAGGCTCAGGATTTTGGGATGAAAAAGGCTGACTAGACTATTGCAAATCCCAGTTTTTCATTTTAAAGTGCTGTGCAGAATCCCAGGCAAGAGCTTTTCCCAAGCTGTGTCTCTGTCTGGAGTTTGCCCATCAGACACAAACTCCAGGACAGACATCCCTGGGAAAGCTGCTCAGGGTTCACTCAGCTGGCCAAAAAGAAGCAATTATTTCATTTTTAGAAATTACTTTTGTACTGGGGGAGATGTAATGGCAGAGGAACAATCAAATTAAATAAATAGGTTAAAACAACACATGCAGCATCTCTTCTCCAGAAATGGAGTGATCTTAGGTCAGAAACTGACTTTGAATGCAACTGAAACTAAATCCCACTTAGAAAATTTGATTCTGAGTTACAATCCAGACATTCCCATCAAACACCTTGATCTGTATCTGGATTTCATCTCAATTTGAGTGTCTCCTTGTACAACTGTAGCTGTTTCATCTCTATCTCCACCTCTTGAGATCCCCACTTTTAAGTTCCTTTTTACTTTCATATCCTCATCACATCTCTCTCCAACAAATCCCCTTTCAAGAACTGGCTGTCCTGCCATAAAAAACAGCCACAAGTCATTGACATCTCTTCTAGTTCTGGCCAGAGACCTTTGTCCCTCTCAAATTCCTTCCCCTAAGGAGAAAAAGAGTGGATTTTCCATCACTGGGCAGCAAAATAAAGTGGATTTTGTGTTTCCTCATGGTGAGCAAATCCTGCAGAGGCATCAGAGTAAAACTGGATGTTAAGCAGACATTGGAAGCCAGGGCAGGCTCTGGCAGCTGCAGGAGTTACCTGGTGGCTGTACTCCAGTCGCCTCTTCAGTTTTTCTCTGTCCCTGCACAGGAGCAAGGAAAAAATAGAAATTAAGAGCTTAAGATTCAAAATGTTCATTCATTAGAAAAACTAAATCTAAGATCTAAAAGCAAACACAATACTCATCTCAGCTAAATATAACAAACCAAGTATTCTTGTTTATTGAATGAAAATTTCCTCGGGAAGCTGGAAGCTCGTCTGAAGTTAACTTTCCAACAAATTCCCTCTGGATTATTTATTAAAATATTTAAAACAACCCCAAACTCCCACATCTAGAATGTGAGGCAGCATCACAACTACCCAAATCAGTTTTTGTCACAGACCTTAGCTAAGAACCCTTTTATTCCTAAATGAATGTATTGATTTTTTCAATATTCTTCAATGAGGACCTTTAAAGTTACAAAGCCAAGGTCTCCTATCAGCCTGGAGAGTTTGCTTCTGGGATATCCCAAACTGTCTATGGAACATCATCCCTCTGGGAGCTGGACTTTCACCCCAACTTCTGCACAGCTCTCCTTGGAAGTTTTTAGTGTTGAGAGCTTTTTCAAAGTCTCCAGAACTCACTTTTTCTTGTAGGTTTTCTCGTACGTGGGATGTATTAAATCGTCATCCTCTGGTTCTTCTGGCACATTACAATTCCTGAGGGAAGGAAAAGGGACATGAAAAAAAAAAAACCCCACAATAGAAGGAGCTGAAGAGCCCTGCTGCTGCCAGGTGATGAGGAAGGGCTGGGGGGTGTCCCTGGGCCGGGTCCTTACCGGAATTGGGGGTCAGGGTTGAGGGAGCAGTACCACTTCTCTGGTAAATGCTCGATTCCGTCCGGGAGCTTCCGCCACTTGAGGCAGGCGTCACACTGCACCCACGTCTGGTCAGGCTGTTTCCTGAGGAAAAAAACCAAAACCTGCACATCACAGAGTGCTCCTGTATGACATAAATCAGAGGATGTGTGTTCAGCCCTCTGCTGTCACTGTGGCACTCACTGGATCTCCTCGACAGGCAGAGCTAAGGGATATTCCTCATTTTTCTTGGTTTTCATCTCGTTCCAGTAATCGTTGAGCTTTTCTCCCAGGGCTGCTATTGTGAGTCTGCAAGGAAAAGAATTTAAAGACACCTTGAATAATCCAATTCTAGCACAGGAAGAACCTTTATGAACTCCAGTGACAGAGTAAGTGCATGAACCACTTGAATAGGCTGGATATTAGGAAAAGGTTTTTCACAGAAAAGTGATAAAGCACTGGAATGGTTTGCCCAGGGAAGTGGTGGAGTCACCATCCCTGGATGTCACACTTGGTGCCATGGTGTAGTGGAGGTGTTAGGGCATGGGTTGGACTCAATGATCTTGAAGGTCTCTTCCAACCTGGTTATTCTGTGAATTCTGTGATTATTTCTAATTGCACAAGAGTGGGGAAAAAAAGCTTTTCTAGAAGCTTTTCCTTTTTTTCTTTTATAAAGTTTTTTTATTTAGAAACCTGTAGAAATAAGGAATTGTCTGAAATCATGTTTGTCAGCAAAGGAATTCCTGGAAACAGGAGTCAGAGCACAAAGACTGAAAAATTAAGAGTGCTGTTGATGGACAGAGCAAGTCCTGGAGGGGCTTCACCAGTTCAGCTTCAACCAGAAAATTAAAAAAAGCACAAAACCAATCCAGCATCTCACCCTGGTTTTGGCTGTTCCTGTACATCCCAAGTGCAGGTTCATGGCTACTCTCAGCTGATACCCAGCTTGACAACAAGGGGCTGGCAAACATTTGATCACTTCAATGTGATATAAAGTTTGCACTCTGATAAAAGGAGCAGGTCAGTCTCACCCAGGGTAATTTTCAGTTTTGTTTCCTGCTTTCAAGGAGCTTTCAGGGCTCAGGGTGCAGCTCAGGGACTCCCAGAGCTGCCACACCCAGGAGGAAGAGGTGAGGAACAATAACAAAGCCCCCGGGTGAACTGGAGGTGAGGACAGCCCCTGCCAGCCCATGGAATTCACCTCTGAGCAATGCAGTGGATGAGTAACCAGGCCCAGCCCTCCCAGGCCCAGCCCTGCCAGGCCTGGCTCAGCGCCTGACACCGCCCCGGGCCTTGAACCAACACAAAAATTTGTGTTTGAACTCAGAGTGTGACCCAGAGCTTGGAGCCAGATCAACTCTGAACCCCAGGCACTGCTGAGCCAGGGGCACCTGAAGGGCAGAAATGAGCGGTGAGCCACGGATGGGATCACATCCCTTTGCTGGGGAGGGAGGAAGTGCAAGGAACCTTTCCATGAGATTCACAACTTTCCAGGCCAAAACAAAAACATCTTGTGAAGCCTGGAGCATTCGCTGGCAGAAAAACCTTCACAGAAGATGTTTCAAGTGTGGTATCACTGTGCCCACCCACATTCCAAGTGCAGGGGAAGGTGGCTGGGGGTAAAATCGGAGAAAGTTGGGAAGTTGCATTCCCGTTGTGACAGAACTGAAATCAGAGGTGGAATGCAGCTGGCATGAAGGGAATCCATTCCTGGATGATAAACAAGGCAGCAGAGTGGAGACACCACAGGCAGGTCCTGCTGGAATCCCTGCAGGAACGGGAACTCTGTGGGATCAGGAGCTGACAGATCAGCTGAGAGGACAGAGCTCCAAGAGAGGAGAAGCTGTTTTGCTGCTGAAGCAGCAGCTGGGGTGAAATCTCTCTCAGATGAATTTTAACTCACACCTCCACTCCAAAGTTATGTCCAGGAACAACTGGAAGTGGCACTCAAAAGGTTTGAAGGTCTTGGAGGTCTTTTCCAACCTTAATGATCCTGTGTTCTCCCCACTCGTCTGGATATTGACTTAATTCTATTTGTTGGACACAAAGTTCCCAGATTTCCTGGTGTGCTGACAGACAAATCAAACCCAAGGGATTGAGGAAACCTCCCTTTCATGTCAAGTGTTCAAAAAACCCCAACAAGTGGAAACTATTCCCTGCTCACTGTGCCTGCCAAGGGCATTCCCAATTCCTGCCCCAAGATCACCAACATTTGCAATCCATGCCCAAAATTTCCACATTAAAAGCACTGTTGGGAAAATGTCTCCTCCTGAACAGCCACAAAAGAATATCCAGGAAAAAACAAGGATGGTGTGGATATTGTGAGGAAATATTTATAAGGAAAAGGAAAAAGACAAAGAGGGGGCACACAAAAAAGGGTCTAAAAGGAGCTGTTTGCATTTAAACCAAGTTTGGCCAGAACACCAGAAACTTTTATTCTTCCTATTTAAAGAAGCAGCTTTATCAAGTAATTCCCAGGAAATGGTAATATGGGATAGAAAATGCAGATAAAAATACCTGTATTCATTGGTGTAGTCAAAATCTTGTTTGTTGTGAGTTGGTTTTAGGAAGTTGCATTCAATAATCCCAACAACACCCACGCCCATGTTGTTTGCCTGCAAAGAATTAAAGTTTATCAGGAAAACCAACACAAAATCCATGCCAGTACTGCAAGAGTTTGCTGGAGGTAATTATTAACTCTATCTACATTGGGTAACAAGGATTTTTTGGCTTATAACTCGTCTCCAAGGAGAGAATCTTGATATAAACCCCTTAAATAACAAATCCTCTGTTCCAGCCCTCTTTTTGTCCTGAAAGATGTGCTCAGATTCGTATTTTTGTATCAAGCAGCCCCAAAACCAAACCATTTAATACAATTTTAACTGCTGCATACAGCAAAAAAGGTGATTTTATAAAGGATACATCAGTGTCTTGCTTTCAATCCATATTCTTTTTTTAAATCAGTGTTTGAAGGAAATTTGACAAGATGTCAAAATATTTTGAAGCCTCAATTTCTTACCTTTAATTGACAGCCAACTCTTTCATAGGCTTTGATCAGTCTGTTTTTGTGGTACATCATTATTCCATAATGATCTTTGTTTCTGCAGTTAAATCCAAAAGTAATTCTGACTGTTTTGGCCTTTGAGCAGATATTAAGGAAAAACAGGGTGAATTTCATGGAACACAAAAAATAAGAGTTACTCTCAGTGGGCCTTTGAGCTTTCTTTTCTTATATTGAGATAATTCTTTCAGTATGACTTTAAAAAAATAACCAAAATTCATCAATACAACTGCAACAGAATTCAGTTCTGCAATGGAAATATGAAAGGATACACTGAGAAATTTGGGTCTGTAAATATCCTTCTCGATGAAGGCCAAGCTTTTGGAAACCAGCTGTGTTTTCACCTTCTGTCCTCTCAGGATGATCTGCATGGTTGGCTTCAGGTACAAAATACTGCAGTAAGCCTATAAAACACACATTATATTAAAATTAAAACATTTACACCCTCCAGCTTCCAAAAATTAACCCAATTTTCAAAATCCAACACGTACTCGTAGTGAGTAATCACTTTCTGGAACAATCTGGTCCAGTCTCTCCTGCTTTTTGTAGCCTCTTTTGCCTGTTTCATCCAAGTCTTCTGGAATTCTGATGTCATATTTATCCTTGTCAAAGTCAAATTCTGGTTTGTTGTTTTTATCTCTATGAATTAAAAAGGGAAAATGTATTAATTATAGGGGGAAAAAGCAAATACAAGAGGAGGTGTTGTGGTGGAGCCAGGGGAAAAAAAGGGGAATTCCTCAGCGATTTGCTAAAATTCACATTTGAGTCCAGCTTCCCATTTTTTTAACTGCACACAGCTTGTTCCAGTTATTCCACACACAATGAACCCCCAAATCCTTCTATGTTTGTATACACTGAAAAAAAAATTATGAAACTGATGAGAGATAAGAGACTGGATTTATCTTACTTTCTGAGATTCCAAATTATAATCCTGGTGCCTTTTTTTCCTATGATGGCATCCAGCTCTGCCAGTAATTTCTCCTCAGTAGAGAACAAGGAATGTGTCAGGATGGCCTTGAGGCTGTTCTTGGATTCTGCTGGATCACTGATCTGCCGTGGGCACTGTGTTAAGGAAAGGCAACTTGGAACTGAGTCAACATTTCAGAAAATGAGGAAATTTCTGGACTCGCTCCCCAGCTTCTCATTCCACATCTCAGAACTCCTACAAAGTTAAAAGTTTTAACCAATTACAACATGTCAGATGTAATTTGCTGCACATTTCCTGGCTTATAACTCCTCTGCAAGGAGAGAATCTTGATACAAACATCCAATAAAGCAGCCAAGGATTTCCCTCTGAGTGACGTTTTCCCCCCTCCCGAAATTTGCGCTGCAACCGCAACTTTTCACCGGGACCTGCGAAAGGATATGTTGGTTGGTGAATGTCACGATGGGAACCATGACATGCTCTGCTTTGGTGACCTCCAGGAAAGTTTGGGACAGCAGCCCCACGCTCATGGTGTCCCCATTTTTGGTGAAAACGATGGCATCCTTGCCCAGGCGCATGGAGCCCGACTTGAAGCCGTTCCCGTAGAGCCCCACGGGAACGCGGCCGTTCATCACCGACTTCTCGCTGAAACCAAAGCTGCAGCAGGGAGAGAAAAAAAAAAAAAAAAATCCATGGAAAACTTGAGGGATCAAGAGATGCAAGACTTGGCAAATTACTTAACCTAAACCTCTTGTTATAGAGCTTTGCTCTTCTGCCTTCACTCAGAGTCAGGATTGAATGCTTGAGAAATGGATTTTTTGTTCAATCTTATTTAAAGTACAGTTTTTCGGCACTTCTGGCTATCAAGCCAAAAGCGAAAAAATGGAGGTGAATTTAACTAGTTACAAGGTCTTTTAAAGCCTAACTATCTAATTAAAAGCTAACATCTCTATTATTTATACTTTTAACTCAATAACCAAACTTGTGACCAACACTATCCAATCCAAAAGCTCTACCTCAAATTATGAAGAGAAAGGAACAAGAAGGAAGAAGAGACAAGACCCAAGAACCTCCATCTTGTCCCACACCTATGACTACATTCTAAAACTCCAAATTCCAAACCCTTCACCATGTGAAATCACACACTTCTATTCAAACTACACACCAGCGATTTTAACTCCATCACTCAGTTTTAGAAGCTTTCTCCAAGGCCTCAAGTCAAAAAGTGTTCTCCTGGGGGTCAGTGTGAGAAAGCACAGAAAACTCAAAATTCCCAGGTTTGTGGGTTCCAACAGTCAGGGACTCCTGAGCAATTAAATCCTAAAATCACTTGGACAACGCTGCTAAAACCACACAGCAAAAACCTGGGAAATCTACTTCCAGCTTTTAAATATGGAATAGAAATATCAAGTCTGGAATTAGGTGAAAAAAGAATTCTGATAGTTATCCTGTAGTTTCACAATAAATACTAATAAAAGCCCCTAACCTTGTCTTTTTTTCCCCCCCTCCACTTCCTAGAAAATGTTTAATCCACAAGTTTTCCATATCACACTTCAAGTAAAACAGGGAACTGAATATGGAATTTAGGAAGCTATTAATTATGGTATCTAATAGAAAAATAACAGTTTGAATTCAAGTTTGCTCAAATTTAAATCTGCAGGCAGAGCAATTTTTTACACTAGGAGAGATATTGCACAGAAAGCTTTTTGTTGTTGTAGAAATGAGAGAAAAATCAGTTCCAACCCTACAGAATATTTAAAGATAAATAGACAATTATTTTAAAAATAGAAAATCCATTAATTTTTGTACAATTCTATTATTTCTACAATTCTAATATTTCTACATTCTATTATTAATATTCCAATGGGTTTGAGCTGAATCTCCATTTTTCTCATTCACTAACTTCAACTAAAGCAATTAACAATAATAACAACGATTATGATGATAGCAAAAATAAAAATAAAAAACTTGTGTTCTCCTTATCTCCACTAGCAGGCACTACAGAGTTTCCACAGCATAAAGGGAAGGCTGAGAGAAAGAATAAAAGGAGATTATGAAGTAAAAGTTCTCTGACAAAGCTACAGGGAAGCTTTAGTAGCATGTGCCTGCTCTGGAGTCTCACCTGGACATTCAGCACCTTCAGAAATGCTGAATTTATGAGCAAAATCATTGAATTATGTAGGAGAAACAGGAATAAACTGAGCAGTACCACAAGCAGGGCTGGGATTTGGACAGGACAGGTGCAGAAGTTGCCCACCTGAGCATTTTGTGCAGTTTCTCTGAGTTCATGCCATTGCCATTATCTGTGAATGTCAGGCAGATGTTGTCATTGATGACGGTTTTGTCGATCCAGATCTGTTTGGCACTCACATCTGGATCGTAGGCATTATCTGAGGGCAAGGAAAGCAAACAGCGTGGGAGACTTGAAAACAAAAATTCAACTAAGTGCAAACACATCTGAAAGTAAATCAAAGGGTTAGGATGGAACAGCTGCACCAACCCAGGAGAACCTCACCCAAAATTTCCCAGATTATCACTGACAGCAACACAGACAATAAAAATGTAGCTGAGGTGAGCAGCTCACACAAGAACAGAAAATGAAACCAAGCCAAGGCTCCAGTTTCATCTCCTGCCTGCAGAGCAGCTGCTGCAATTCCTGCTTTCTCCCAGCCCTTACAGAGGGGAGCTGCAAAATGTTTTAGACTCAACTTTGTGTTTACAGGATGTGAAAGAGTCAAACAGAAATGAAAGAGAAACCAGGGCACCACAAAGCCCTCCTGGCAAAGCCAGGCCCAGCCTCAGCTGCCCCAACACCACTTTCCTCCTTCTCTTCCCCTCATCCCCTGGGATTTGGGAGGGGAAGGAAGGGTGGGAGGTGATGGCACCTCTGCCTCACTGCCTGTCCTTGCAGGTTCAGCTGAGAGACACAAAACAGCTCAAGCCAATAAAAGGAACCACAGCTCGGCACCTTTCTTCCTATAAACTTTATATCCAAATTGCATCTTATGAAATGTTTCATAAAATGTATTTCAGCATCACAAAACAGGACATACAGGTACAACTGAAAGTTTGGGAGAATTTGGAGTGTGAAAAGAGCCAAGATGATTTAACAGATTGTCACAGCCACAGGGCTCTGTTTTCCTCCTCTGGGACAGCTTTGGTCTTCTCCAGCTAAAAAATCCCTGTTTTCTTTTGATAGGTTAATTTTCTGGGAAAGGGGGAAGGGGAGAAAAAAGGGGGGAGGAGAAAAAAGTGGGGAAAGGGGGGAGGAGAAAAAAAGGGGGAAAGGGGGGAGGAGAAAAAAGTGGGGAAAGGGGAGAAGATGTGTGACTTTGTTGGCAGGAACGAAGTGCTCAATCAGCTTGGCTGGGGTCCCAAGCCACACCTTTATTTTGAGGAAGCAGCTGACTGGGGACAAGAGGAACACTGGAGATGTCCAATTAACTTCTGCTCAAAAATCAAAGGCAAGATGATCAACAGGAGCTAATAAACAGGTGCACAAGGTAATGCAGGTAACAGGACCAGAATAAAGAGCAGAACACTGAGGATGTTCAGCCAGGTCTTCCCCTACCTGATGGAAAAAGGTTTTGTACCAAGAAACAAGAATTATTCCAAGCTATTGATCACCTACCTATGAGTTCTGCAATTGCACTGAAGGGCCAGGTGTGACTGGTGGAGTTGGTGTGCAAGAATTTTGGGCACAGCTGGAATAAAGCACAAGCAGGGGCATTAGTTTGTGCTCTCCAAGGCAGAAACCAGTCTGTTAAATAAAGGAAGATTCCATTAAATTGGTTTGGATAACACTACCAAAAGGCTGCAATTAAATTGATTTCTCGGTATTGGCAGGGAACATTAATACAGCTCCTGAAGAGGAAATTCAGCACAGTCTCAGCATATTCTGAGCATGGCTTGTCATCCTAAAATTCTTTATAAAAATGTAAGGAACTATTGCTATCTAATTACAGAAAACATCAAAGCTGTGATTTAAACCCGGTAACAGAAGCTCTCAGATGTTAAAAACTCACATTTAGAACCAGGAGGATCCAAACTTCATGTGAAGAGTGAGCAGCACCCAACACCCTCTGTGGGTCTCAGTGACCAAAATCCCCTCTCAGGGGCTGCCCTGCAGTTGGATCTCACACATTTGATGCACCCAAAGGCACAAATGTATCTTTTCCAGGCCACTGCCAGAATTAAGTGAAAATATGCAAATAAAGCATCTCTTTATGAGATGTGACTTGGAGATGTCAGTGACAAAAGAATTGCCAGGCAGCCCCAGCCTAGGCTCACATATCTTCACTTCAAGACTTGGAAAACCAGGACTAAATATCCATGTAAGTGAAGGACCTGTCCGTGCAACATTTGGAGAAGTTTTAACTGCAGCTGATCCTTGTGTTTGCATTATCCCTGAGGAAATCCATGGCTACACTCCTACAAAGCCTTTAACACAAACCCCCTGCACAGATTTGCTCAATCCCCCCCTGCCAGAGTTGTGGTGGTGGCAGAAAAAAGCAGCACCATGAACACATAACACTGAAATCAGCCCTTGTACCACTGAGTTACACAAAAACCAGAACATAATCCACATTATTATACAGAGAAAATCTGAGAGAGATCTTAAAATACTGTGTGCATAGCCATACTGTATAATTTTTACAGAGTTACACGTTGACAAGCACTTTTATAAAGGTATGAAGTGTAAATAAAAGTGCAAATAAAAGCAAGCAGCCACTTCAGAGCTCCAAGGTGAAAAGGAATGATGCTAAAAGCAAATCCTAGAGCCACAAACCAGGCACCAGAGCAGGAGAAAGGCACATGGAGAAGTAACAGAAAGTGCCAAGAGCTGTCACCTCATCCTGAGGTCATAGCAGCACATGACACACTTCCAAGTGCAATTTAATCCCTGCGTTTCTCCATGGAGCACCAGTGGGAACAGAAACCACGTTCCTCCTTGCCATCTGTGCTTCAGAGCTCCAGGTTTACAAAATCTGGTGCAGGAAGTCAGGCTAAGCCAGGGTGCTCCCAACAAACACTTCCAAGTAATTTTGAATCCAAAAGATTATTAATGGGTTATTAATGGAAATCTCACATGTGCAACAGCACGTGGGCAAAAAGGATCTTTGGATTTTTCCCTCTGCTGTACAGGAACTCAGGGGATCCTCAGAGCCCTGGGTGATTCTCTGCACTTTCACAGAGCTGGCAGCATCTGCTCCTTTGTTTTCTAAGCTTCGGGATCAAAACCCACCAGAAACAACTGCTGGGGGTTTTCCCACCTGAAATCTCTCCCCGGTAAAAAAACCCCATATTTAAAAATCCCAACCCACCACAGGGATGTACATTCAGAGATTTGGCATCTGCTCACTCTCTGCTGAAACACTGAATGACTCCAGCCATACAGGAGGCTGAAGTGCTGGATTCCCTGGAATCTCAGCAATATGGACTTGGCAAGAAATCCTGACTGTGGTTTTGAAACAGGCATCAACTCACACTAGGGAATCTCATGGAATTCCTGAGGTTGGAAAAGCCCTCCAAGCCCATGGAGTCCCAGCTGTGCCCCATGGCCACCTTGTCACCCTGAGTGCCACCTCCAGGGATGGGCACTCCAAAGCTCCCTGGGCAGCTCTTCCCAAGGCCTGACCACCTTTTCCAGGAAGAAAATTCCTTCTGGAAAGGAAGAAGCACCTCCCCAGACCATCAGGCAATGCTGAGGAAGGACAGATAGAACTTCAGTGTCACCCACAGTGGCATCCTCACCAATAAATGTCCTTTTGCCTGTGAACCAAATCATTGTGTGTGCACAGAAACCAAACTTTGCCTGAGTAACGCAACAGCTCCACCCTTCATTTCCCTGCTGTGAACCACTGAGAATCCTAAAAACAACATCACAGGAGTTGTGCTGATATCTCTGGATCACTGCTTGGGGGAGGGTTTGGAAAGGCTGGAAGGTGGTTCAGAGGACTGGGAATTGTATGGGAAGGGCTGGAAGATGGGAACTGGAACAAATGGGGTCTTGGCTCTCATACCTCCCATTCCTTAGCAAAAGGTGAGCAACTATGCCACAGGGAATTCATGGGGAAGTTACCTCAGAGCAGACAGCACCACCTGATCACAGAATTCCAGAATTCTAAACCTGGTTTGTGTTTAAAGACCACCCAGCTCCAATACTTGCCACCAGAGCAGGATGCTCCAAGCCCTCTCCAGCCTGGCCCTCCTCATGCCAGGCATTGAAACAAGGGCACAAAACCAGATTAAAGAACAGCAGAACAGTGGTTTAAGGCCATCAGTTTTATAGTTTCCTCCAGAGCAATCCAGCTGTCAGCAGCCACTCCTTAATTCCTGATGAACTCATCAGGAAATATTTAAGTCCGTTTGTCCCCTTACACTTCGTTCATCAATGCACCACTTTAATTAGCTCCTAATTAATTGAGATTCAGTAAGAGCTGAACACTCACTTGGCCAATCCAGCTGTTTTGCTTGCTCAGCCAAACATATTTTGTTACTAAGTGGGTTTTGTTTAGTAATTTCATTTTTTTTCTGCCGAGACCAAGTGCAGCCAAACACAATTCAAACCTCCCACTTCTTCCAGCTGGACATGTCTGAAACTAAACTGTCCTGAGAACAGCACCTCCTGCAGTTATAACCAGCAAATATTGAAGAATAAAGCAGTTTATATTGCAAAAATGACAGGCAGCTTCAGAAATTCAGTTTTCCAAGCAAACCTGAACTGTCCCATCCCTTGCAGATCCAAAGTTGTGCACAAATCCCAAACCTCTGCAGAGCTTGCCTCATCTTAGGAATTTATTTCTTGCACATAATAAATTTTTGTTGTGTTATCCATCATCACTACAGTAATTCATGCATTTGAGTGGAAAATACATCTTGGTTTATCCTTGGGAACAACACTGCCATTTTCATGGAATTCCTGAGGTTGGAAAAGCCCTCCCAGCCCCTGCAGTCCCAGCTGTGCCCCATGGCCACCTTGTCACCCTGAGTGCCACCTCCAGGTGCTACCTCCAGGGATGGGCACTCCAAAGCTCCCTGGGCAGCCCCTGCCAAGGCCTGAGCTCCCTTTCCATGGGGAAATTCCTCCTGAAACTTCCTGAAATTTCTCCTGCCAGCTACACAATCCCAGGTCCATGACTGTGCAATGAGCCACATCAAGGGACCCATCCAAATTAAAAACCATTCTTAAAATATTATCCTGGATCACTTTCCCGAGCTGCTTCATTGTTCAACTGGATAAAAATACTGCCAGAGCAACAGCAGGAGATAAATTCCAGTGTGGGAATGAGTTCCCAGGCCCTCCCAGTGCCTCTGAATCCACGGGAAATACTTTATATTCCCAAAGAACTGTGAGCATCAGCTCTCCCCACCATTCTCTCATTACAAAGCCTTTTACAAACCTGGGCAAAACCACATCAGCTGCTTCACCTGAGCAAAAAAAAAAAAAAAAACAAACAAAAAACCAAAACGAAACCAAAAAATCGAAAAACAAAAAACCCTACAAAACCCTCAGCTCTCACTGGAAAGCCACTGAATGCAAATTCTCAGTTGTCTCTGCAACAGACAAAACCAAAGATCTGCCTAAAAATAATTGAGAAAGTTACCAAGTGCGTCTGGTTTCGTTTGTGCCTCTGAGAGTTGGGCTTGGCAAAGTGATTTCAACCTGAGAATGATTTTAAACTCTGAACTGTCAGATGCAAAGGCTGATTTTTGATACTTTTTCTGCTCAAGCAGACCAATAATATGTCCAGAAAGTAATAATAAATCCAAATCTTCACCTAAAGAAGCAGAACAACCCTGCTGCAATAAAAAAAAAAAAATCACACAAACTGTGAATTTCAAACACTTGCAAGAATTAAAGATCTGAAATCAAAATTAAAATGCAATTTTGGAACTTCAAAAAGATGATGTTTAGGGCTTATCTCTAGAATCGTGGCAACTTTTATTAGGGTAATATAAATTGACCTTAAGGTAACAAAAATTGATGTTAGGGTAACATAAATCGATATTAGGTGATAAAATTTCAGCCGGAGGTCGAACTCAATGATCTCGGAGGTCTTTCCCATCCTAAACGATTCTGTAATTCCAGCCGTGCTGAGCATATCCGAACGCACCTTTTTCACTCAAATATTTCATAAGTTACTCATCGTAGCTCTCCTGCTTCTTTTCACTGCTCTAAAGCAAGGTGCTGAGCCAGGTGTAGCTCTAGGTAAGGTTTAGAGGCATTGACTTGGGAAAAACCCTCCTGTTTCACCTGAAAAAGCAGCTTTAACTTCATTTATATCAGCACAAACAAACGACCGATTGCCACAACCGCTCAGCGACAATACTACGACGGAAAAGCACAACACAGCAGCATTTACCTGCGCGAACACTCATCATCAGGCGTAATTAGAGTTAAAATGTAATTAGGCCGCTCGCAATAAAAGCAGTTAAGATTTGAAGTTACGAGTTGGCAATTAGAGGTCACGGCGCTCACCAGAGGCTGGGAAATCCCGCCCCTAACACCGAGCCCACCCCCAGCCCTCACCTTCCCCTCGGCACAGCCTGGCAGGACCGAGAGAAGTTCATTTTCCAGGATTTGAGGCGGGATAAGGACGGGATAAGCCCCGACCCCACGTCCCCCACCCCGAGCGACGAAGCTGCGCTCCCCGCCCTCGCTGAGGGAGTGACCCTGGAAGTGTCCAAGGCCAGCTTGGACGGGGCACTGAGCAGCCTGGGGTGGTGGAAGGTGTCCCTGCCCATGGCAGCAGGTCGGAACGAGCCGGCCCCTCAGGTGCGTTCCCCCGGGCCGGCCGCGGCCCCGCCGCCCCCTCAGACTCACCGCGCTCAGCCGGATCCCGCCCTGTGTTTTCGCCGCCATCTTCGGGCCGCGGCCGCGCGCGCGCTTCCGCCTCCCCGCGGCCCTTTCGCGCTTCCGGCACCGGGCGCGCGCACGGGGGTGGGCGGGGCTTGGGGCGAGGCCACGCCCCCTGCCCTGAGGGCGGGGCTGGGGTCGAGGGCGCTGTGAGGGGATGGCGTAGATTGGAAAAGGGATTTGAAACCATCTGGTCCTACCTGTGTGTGATCCCCAGCCCGGAGCGCTGAGTGCCACGTCCAGGCCTTCCTTGGACACCTCCAGGGATGGGGAGTCCATCCCCACCTTGAGCGGCCCCTGCCAAGGCCTGAGCTCCCTTTCCGTGGGGAAATTCCTGCTGCTGTCCAAGCTGAGCCTGCCCTGGCCCAGCCTGAGGCC